CTTTGCGCTTGCAAATTCCTCCATGTAAATAGCAAATCCGCCATGGCACGAGCGCAACTGGCTCTTAAAAGGAATAGGAGATCATACTCTGATTGGTTTATTGCACGTTATGCCCAAAACACACCCATTACTCATTAAGAGGATAGGGACAACCCTTTTAGACCATGCACCGGGCGCGCCGACCGTTTTTCCCGTCGTTAAACTAGCAAAAGAGGATTTGGACACACCCTAAGTCAACCTGCGCCGTGCGCTTTAGACCATGTGCTTAGATCGTTAAAATAGGGCCCTATACATTCCATAACTGTTTTCACAGTGATGCCATAGAAGACGCATTTTTGCTGAACAGTGCTCAAAAGAACTGTTTTTTTTTTTTTTTAAATTAAAAATTTAAATTTTTTTTTTTTTTGTAAATTAAATATTTAATTTACATGTTAAGTATGATAATCCAACCCATGATTATACAAATGGTATGAGTGATACAAATCAAAGATTAAACCCACAAATGAAGGTGTTGGAAAATTTACCTGATGCTGATATTTTTCTCTAGATCTCCATGTGGCAACTGGCAACAAATATGTGGAATATTCTTCACTGTAAACAACCAAACCATAAATCTGACAAAAACTGATCTGTGCTGCAATGGGTTGTGCAAGTTAATGGATGGGGTGACCTGTGGGTTATGCTGTGTGGTTCGGTTGGGTAGTGCGGCAGCACTCAGGGCAGCGCTAAAGCACTTTGGTCTCTTTTTTGTTGCTTTTTGTTATCCAAACATCACTGTGTAAATGATGGGATAGCACTTCATGTCAAAAAGGTTACCTGCACCTACACTAGTACAAAGAGAGTGTCTTTTCTTTTGGAATTAGCTATGATATGAACAATTACGGAGTCACAGTTTGTGTTGGAGTATATGATTGTAAATAATTCAATTGCACAACATCACTGAGCTCAATACTGCAGTGGCAACAACAACAACAGTAAATGCAACTGAAAGGACGAATGACCTGCAAAGATAAGCATGGTGGCAAATTGCTGTTGTTCACAATTACCTCTGTAAACCAGTGTCATTCACTGTATGCAATAAAAATTAAGAGTCTTTGTTTTGGATCATATTATAGTACTGTGTAATGTTTCCATGGCAGTGTTGTTTCCATGAGATCTACTTGAGTCACATCGAAACGGCCTAGTGTAGAAAGAAAATTTTCAAAATTACAAATATTGTATTTTTAACTCTCTCAGGATTGATTCAGTCTGAATAACCCATATAGCAAATTCCAGCTTACAGTTATTGCAATTAGTCTGCAGGGATAATGTATGCCTACTGAACAGTAAAAGCTCCATGCAGTATTTCTTCAAAAAAGCCAGTTGTTGTCAGGGAGAAATGCGTTCTATGCTCAAAAGCCCAACCTCGGTCAAGAAACTGATGCTCATTTTAGTGTTAGTATCCGATCAGTAAACACTGCAATTTGGCATTTTCTAAAAAGAGAGTATCCACATAGACCCTCTTTGGCCTGAAATCATATCCATCCATGAATTCTCATATGAAGATAAAAGAAAACACATCTAGTAAGGACAAGCAGCAAACAAATGACCCTATAGTTGTTTATATTTAAGCACAAGAATGGAGGCTGTAAAAAAATCTGCAGTAAACCTTATATCAGAGTTGTGAAGAGCCTTATAATAGACAGGGGAAGGTTTTCGATAACTGAACTGGTGATCTGGAAAAGACACAGATTGCACAAGGCTATTGCTCTCGTCTCATGATGTTCTCTATTTCCAGCATTGTTGTGGACAATGATCACAGCTGTATCATCAGCTGCACAGCAAGACTTATCAAGGTATGAACGTTATATTTTACTAACAAACAAATCTGCTGGTCCAATACTACTCTATTTATGGGTTGATAGAAAACTTTTTTTACCTTTAAATGGTGTTAAATAAAAAAAACATAATTAAAATAATCGGATGTATAAACAACAAGCAACAATAATGTCCTAAGATTGCAAAACGCATAATACGGCCAAATGATGCATTAGCACACCTGGGAGGTTTTTTGCACAGTTTACTGTATTTGGCCACGGAAATGATTATGGCGATAATAGGCTGAGAGCAGGAGCTATTTGAAGGACACGGGCATGAAATAAAGAGTCTGTTGTGGCATACTGTGAAACACTCAGTTGCCACAGGGGAGATCAACATCCAGCAGACAAAGACACCCGATTCACTGATTGACTAAAATTGAGCATTTAAGAGAAACAGAGAGGCAGCATTTGTCATTCATATTATTACTAACGTTCTAAAGTGTTTTTGAACCCAGAACAGAAGAGGAAGAAAATAGCAAAAGAGTGCAGGAGTACATTTTGATCAATACTAGGCTACTGTGTAAAATGTCTTTTCATGAACCTGTTTTGTTCAATAAGTATATTGGGGAGACTGGGGCTAGCTGTCAATTAATTAATTTGCTCATTTTTTGTTGCCTTTTGTGTTTCATTATTGTTTTACTGTTTAAATGTTGCTGAAAATCTATGATAGATTCCACTGTGACAACTTAACCCATACTAAACAGGGCAAATTAGCGCGAGAGCACAATTCCAAAACAGCGCTGACAGGCGTGGAAATTTCTGCGGGTGATCTAACAACAAGCAAATTAAAGAACACAGACGCATTATCTCATTTACATATCAATACACCAAGCGCAGCGCAAATTAGAGTAGTCGCAAATATAGAATAAAGAAGCCACCAGGCCCGGACTGGCCATCGGGAGCACCGGGAGAATTCCCGGTGGCCTGGCGGCTGATTTGGCCCGCTGCCTTGTTGTTGTTGTTTTTTGTTTTTTTTTGTTATTATTATTAATATTTTATATTTATGCCTTCTCAATGCACCAAAGTGATCATTTCCGATTTTTTTCATTCGATAATAATAAAATAATAATATATAATAATAATAAATCATAAATCGGTTGGTCTTGACTGGCAGCGCTGCGCTACACGAATCGGCTCACATCTGTTCCGCGCTTCCGTCAAACGGTTCCGAACAGAACCGATGCGCGGGACTCGATGAAAGACAGCCTGAAATTGCGTCCCAGTCCGGCCCTGGAAGCCACAGTACGTTGAAAAGAACCGGAGGCCAAAAAAATGAAGCTAGAAGTTGCAAGAAGTTTTGATAGACCTGGTATTGCGTGACTCCTAGTTGAGGGTTCCAAATCGTCTTTTATTTCCTGAAGCAAATAAAAAATAACGTGGCTTGGCAAACTATATGTTCAGATAATGTCTTCTTCTGGCATTCCAAATTAATTAATATGTGTGGAAAAAACCCTCTCCCTTCTACCACGCGCTCTCTGTTCTCTGCGGTGCCTCCTCCTAGCACCAATAATTGCAGCCATTTCAAGCACAAAATAGATTAAGACATGCTTTTTTGTTAAATAATGGCGCAAAAATACCAGTAATTTGACGTTAGTAAATCTCGTTGCGTGATTCATTTGAATACTCTCCTTCCATAAATTTTGCGTCTGAAAGGGAAACGCCTACAAATGCATATTCAATACGGTCAGGCACAAAAATAACTGTGTCCACGCATTTTCACCGCTAATTCATCACTGCACGTCTTTAGTAAAACCTGACAGTTA